ATAATTCACATTTAAACTATTGATCCCCCACAAGGGGAGAGGGTTTTTTTCTCGGGTTAGCCCGGTTTTCCCTTTAACAAACATCAATATAATAAATAAAAGTCCATATTTGCCGATTCGGCTTTTTAGCTAGCTCTTGTTGCTCAAAATGAGTACTAATGATCTCTAGAGCAGGCTTGCAAAATGAGTTAGGAACCTGCGCAAAGCTGACATTCAGACGCTCGAGTGGGAAGCACCAGTGTGTACGCAGCGGGCCAAAGGAAGTAATAAGAGTATTAAAGATAGCAAAAAATCGTGAAAACATAGTTTACTGGAGATCCAAGCACACATTTGACCACTTGAGCTAATATCTGGCGACAGAAAATAAAGTAAGAAAATAAATCCGGATCTATATCTAAAGCTAATCTGGCTTCAAGTTGCCAATAGCAGAATAGACATCCTTATTGCGTGCATTTGGCTGTGAATATGGCAATTTTACTCTCTCTTTGATAGTGACATTGATCTGGTTTTATGCTCATTCCATTTTGACTTCCTGTTAGCCAATTTTTGAAAAGGAGACGACGGAGCGACAGAAAGCAGTGTTGTTCTTTTCTTTTGTTCGTGCTTTTCTTCTTTTTATACTAATATTCGGGCTATATGTGTATTATTTTAATTTTGCCTTGTTTTTAGCAAAATTTTACATGCGTATAGTCGATGTATGTATTTAAGCATCGATGTAGCACAAGAACAAGTGCAGATAAGTACACAAGTCCCCTAAGGGGTGCATCGGTAGAGTAGCTGCAATATAGCACACCACTATATTATCGTTCTACGTTAGAATCTGGTTTCTATCTATCTGTTCTGTAGCCACTCTTTCTGTGCTTGGTAGTAACTAATGCAGGTGCGTACATCACATCAAATTGACACTACAGCATGCTTTTGAGTTTCATCAGCAGAATAGCATCAAACCTATGTAGTTGTAGTTTTCGTAGTAGTTTTATTAGCCATCAATATATTATATATACCATATGAATACTAGAGCTTGTGAAAGAAACAGGCACTGGATACAATCTAAATAAGAACGATACATATACTATACGAGCTTATATTATTTAACTAATGAAACAAGCTCGCATATCAAAGTGCAGGTCTTGTCAAGCGTTAAATACAGCTGTTTGCTATGGTAGTACTTGAATAACCAAATAATAGTGCTATCCAGGCGAGCGATGGGTGGCTCTAATCTGTACTCAAGCGAGCACTGCGAGTGGCTTCACGAAATGTGGAATAGTTACGATTTTAGTTACATCTTTTTGGAAACGATCAATAGGCTTGTATATTGCATGGTAAATCTCCTCAAAAAAGGAATAAAGCAGTGGTTTCGCTAGCAAAACGAAATGGCCAATAATTTTTGTCACAAAGAGTGCAATTGCTAAGATTGGCCAGAAAATTTAATCACATCCCTCAAGGCTAAATTTGCAAAGTATTTGAATTGCTTTAAAAAATCGTACAAAACAAGTGCAAAAATACGCTTCGAGTGGGGCTCGAACCCACGACCTTGAGGTTTCAAAGACAACTCCGAATTCAGGAATTGGATTAAAAGCCACACGCTCTGAACCAACTGAGCTATCGAAGCCTTTTTCAAGCCAATACTCATTGCTAGTTTTACAGATTATAGATAGCTACACATAAATAACAAAAGTCTTTATACAATAGGAGCTGCTATAAGAACTTCGTGGCGGATGGAAAGCTACTATCCCAAACCCTGACGCTACCCATGGACTGGGAGTCTGGGAAATATATCGCTCTCATGCAGAAACTAACCTAAACGGCACCAAGCGCACCGGCGATGCCATGTTCATCCGATGGAAATCCACCCTTATGAGCCGCATCGTTCACGACTTCAGCTACTCCTTTACAATCAAAAAGAAGGCACATCTCTTCAAGAAACACTGGCTGCAGGTATCCAACTAGTGGTTCCAATTCGATCCGGGAGGCGAAGAGTTGAGTGGAAAATTATCCTTCACCTCACTCCCATACGAAACCGATCACCGCCTTCGCCATCTACAAGTCAACTATCAACCAGACGATGTCGATACCTTCAACATCGGGCCTTCACCTGCCACCGCAGAACCGGCCGCCCAACGCCGGGCATCTTCCGCATGACCTCTCGCTAACTATTAAACTATGTATGCTTAATTTCGTTATATTCATGCACAGTATACTTCGCCATTTTGAGTGTTAAAAAAAAGCGCCCCCAAAAATAAACTGCTAGAATACCTTCGTATCCTCTTTAATGAAGAGAAAGTAGCGACAAAGCAAATGAAAGCAAAGCTAATCAGCAACATACAAGCAACGACGGAGCGCTGGGCTGATTGTCGTATTTCACCAATGGAACGCATGATGCTGGTGAACTCGATGCCACTCGCAAAACTGTGATTCATCGACACTTACTGCAATAAAGTCACAGAGCTAGTATGCTGTTTTATATAGAACTTTTAAAGCAATAAACTAAAGTAAGACAAAGCTCCAAAACTCAAAAGACTTGAAGAACTGGGCCCTTTCCCTGTAAAAGAGCAGGCGCTTGCTATTTTCGCTCAATTCGCATTGATGATATTCCATCAGGAGGGGTTCGCCGTGGTAGGCCGAGCCAGCACACCAGGGGTTTAACCAACGTCTTGCCTCCTCGCAAACTGCCTCCTCGCAGACCGCTACACAACTGGCCGACACAAAATGTTTTGTCTTTTGGTATTTTACAACAGCATATTTACAACTTGGGACTACACTATCTAGCGTGATAGCCAATTGGGCATTAAAAAAAACTAATTATGGCAGTGGTAGTTTATCCTAAAGAACATTTTGGGTTAATAAAGTTGCAACATTTTGCCATTCATTTGCACTTTTACTATTATTATTGTTTTTATTTTGTAATAACCACATTTAAATTTTAGCCGTTAATCACCAATTTTATCACATTTGCGCCTATAATGGCATTTAGTCCATGACTCGATGTATATCATCTCATTTTGATGACAAAAAGGAGTATACATACGGTAGTTCGCTTTCGGAGCATGGTAATTATTTCAGTTGCTGCTCTTACTGAACTTATACCACCGCTTAAACTACCTTGCCAAAACCTTTATGGGGCCAGTAAAGACTCCAAAATGCCACAGCTGGTAATAAAACATGTACTAACATGGAAAACATTAATGCCCTCTTTTGTGGCTCGGTCAGACACAGGTATAAACTCGAACAGCTTTATAATGCATCTAAAATGCCCGCTTACTAGCCAAGAGCACAAAGTAAAGATTACATTCATGCAGGGGCTTACTTCTGATGGCCCTTAATCAGACATGCTTGAGTCTCACTGCACAAAATGTCTGACATTCCAAATGATGGCTTCAAAGGCAGGTATGAAATAAAATTTGCTAGACATGAAGTTCTACAAGAAAGCAATAACTACTGTCCAAATTGAGTCAGTTGATTGGCAATTTAGAGCGTTGTAGGAATACTTCTCAATTTTATCTGGCATTCACTAGGCTCATAAAAGTTGGCAGCAAACTATTTTAGGTTAATACATTTTTTCGGTATATGCTGAGATTTTATGACGGCTCCACCAGCTTTGTGGAGCCTTCAGCAAAAGAGTTTATGGAGAATAGGCAAAATGGTAGCTGTGGATAGTATAATCACTGCTTCCTGCTGGCATTGCAGTGCTTGCTAACTCAGTAGCGCTTTTTTACCAAAGCTAAATCCCTCAAGGAAAAATGAAAAGAGAAATCATAAAGAAAGCATAATAGCCTGTGTCTACACTAGCTGCCGTTGAAAGATGAAATAATGAAACAAAGATATAATAGCAATAGCAGCTCTGATTATGGAGCACAATCGAACATTTATAGCACAAATAAGTATTTTGATGATTATTCAGGAGAAAGTTGTGCTGCATTTATTAAATTCAAGATAAAAGAAAAGAAAATAACGACAAACTCATTCCTGGACTATTTTGGCTTTTATATCCTAAACCCTGCCAAAACAGTTTTTACGTTTAGTTTGATATATTCACACATCCTACATCATGGCTTTATTCGATCAATGCCTTGATGAGGGAGGGCACAACACAAAAGCAACACGTACATGTTGCTAGGTCCTTATACAAAGAGGGAACAAGCGACTTTAGCGTATTTTCATTATACATAATAAATCAGAACAAGTGGATACAACCGTTTGCGTTGGAGTTGAGATTGATGAGCGGATCCATTTTTTATTTTTAAGCAAGCCCGCATCATAAAATTTTCTATTGGAAAGAGGAAGCGTTTAAAACAACGGTTGAGTTTTTTTTTTCGATTTATGGCAATCGGAAAAACCTGCACAGAGCACACCATCGCATACATCACGCTATTGGGCTTTGGTACCAAGGAGTGGTAGCATGCGATCTTATTGGCCAGCGAATGAAGGAAAAACTGTTTTTCTTTAATGACAAACAAAACAGGTCGGAAGCGCTGATTGGAGAGGAGCGGGATTGCGATTCACATTTTTCCCACTTGAGACCGAAAAATAACAAGAGGGGGCACTCGCTCCTCTTCTTTTTCTTTTCTTTTTCTTCACATATTTTTTATATAGTAGTTTTTGTTTTCAATATGGTTGATACATCATCATCATCACCTCGTTACCACCTGGCAACAGAGCTGGTTCACATCGACAGCGACGCAGTCAAGGACAACTACAACGCCGCGTCGGTGCCCATCTACCAGACGGCGACGTTTAAGACGAGCAACGCGGACGGAAGCGGCAGCGAGTACGACTACTCGAGGTCGGGCAACCCGACGCGGACAGCGGTGGAGGTGCACCTGGCCAAGATCATGAAGGCGCAGCGGGCGTTTGTGGTATCGACGGGGATGACGGCGCTCGACGTCATTCTGCGGCTGGTCAAGCACGGGCAGGAGATCATCGCGGGCGACGACCTTTACGGAGGCACGAATCGGCTGCTGACCTATGTGTCACAGTACGGCGGGATCAAGGTGCACAACGTCGACACCACTAGCGTGGACAAGGTCTCGGCGCGGCTCGACCCGGTCAAGACGCGGCTCGTACTGCTTGAGTCGCCGACCAATCCACTGATCAAGATTGCGGACATCCGGGCGATTGTCTCGCGGGTGCACAACACATGCCCCAACGCGCTCGTCGTGGTGGACAACACGATGATGTCGCCGTATCTGCAGAACACGCTGGAACTGGGCGCTGACATAGAGTACCACTCAGGCACAAAGTACCTGGCAGGACACCACGACCTGATGGCCGGCGTCATTGGATGCGCGGCAGCGGCGGTTGCTGAGCAGGTGTACTTTGTGATCAATGCGAGCGGCTCGGGGCTCGGGCCGTTCGACTCGTGGCTGCTGCTGCGCGGCGTCAAGACACTGGGCATCCGCATGGAGAAGCAGCAGAGCAACGCGATGCTGATCGCCGCGTTCCTGGAGGCCCAGGGCTTCCGGGTGCACTACCCGGGGCTCAAGTCCAGTCCGCAGTACGAGCTGCACAGATCGATGTCCTCGGGCCCCGGTGCTGTGCTGAGCTTCGAGACCGGCGATGTCGCACTGTCGGAGCGAGTCGTCGAGAGCGCCAGGCTGTGGGGTATTTCGGTGAGCTTCGGCTGCATTAACTCGCTCATCTCGATGCCGTGCAAAATGTCGCACGCGTCGATCCCCGCAGAGGTCCGCAAGCAGCGCCACCTGCCTGAGGACCTGATTCGGCTGTGCGTGGGTATCGAGCACCCAGACGACCTGATCAGCGATCTGGCAAGTGCTCTGACAAAGGCCGGTGTGGAAGTAAAGGCCAAGGATTAGGTTTCCATTTTATATTATTCAGACCATCAAATAAACATTACCAAAGTAAGCGAGAAACAGGGTGTGTTTTAGTCGGATTTCTTGTGCTTGATGGTCAGACAGTTGATGTCCAGGTATGTGCAGATGGTGTTGATGACCTCAAGCGCAAAGTGCGCGTACTGGATGGCGGTGTATCCGAGGCAGAGCCAGATCAAAATAAGCTCGTTCTGGCCGTCGAACATCTTGGTCAGGCCGATGTGGGGGGCGATAGCGTTGGTGGTGCCGAAAAAGATGGGGATGTGCATACGGTTGAGCTTGGGGAACGGCGCACCGGTGACGTGAGCGACAATCACGCGGCCGACGATGTACGAGAACGCAAAGCCGACGAACAGGAGGAACGCGACCAAGTGCTCACGCAGCACCATGGGTGACGCGTAGAGCCAGAGTGTGACGCTGCCGATGGATGCCGCAAAGGGGATTGCGTCAGCGTAGGCGGCCAGCACGCCCTTCTTCTGCTCACGGCACGCCCTGGCGATGTTGGAGAAGCTTGCATAGATCGTGGGGGCCAGGCCAGCGCCTATACCGACGACCACCGACTGGGCCACTGTGACTGGCGGCAAGCGGGCCACAACTGCAGCGGGCAGGATGGGCACAAGGTCGTACACGCTGCTGGCCCAGAACTGCGGGCCCACAACAGCAGTTGCCAGTGCGGCCAGAGAGAACACAATGATACCCTCGACGGGGCCCGAGAAGTAGCCGAGGAACAGCACATGCGTGTGATATTCCTCCATGGTCGAGATGTAAAAGTTGGTCAGCGCGA